CAACACTTCCCGTTGCCGTACTAGCACCCTTTGTGTCACTGATCTCTCCGAGCCGGCTCGTCGTCAACCAGATCCCACTCTCGGGCTCAGGTGTCCATATTGACAACGATGAGTCCGCGGAAGCACTTAGAAGTTGCAGGCCATTACCAGCTGGCCTCCAAGAGGTGGTGTAAATCCAATCCTCGTGTCCCATGAGTAGGGCCTCAAACGTCACACTCCACACATCACCGCCATCGGTTCGCAGCTTGTGCGCTTTGTTTGAAAGTCTGTTTGAGAGTCCGTACGTTTTTGTCTCGTCGTTTGCCGTGGCCGGCGGGAGTGCCTCGCCAGCATGGACTCGCCAGAGTCGGATATATTTATCTTGCGACGCAGATGCAAGAATAAGGTCCCCTTCGCCCTCGGGCGACTCTGGAGTGAAGGTGAGAGAACGGATCCAGTTCTCATGGCCTGAGAGAGTAGCTTGTGGTGTGAACTTCTCTGAGGAAGAAGGTGCTATGTAGAGCGATATTGTCGACGCAGACCCAGCGACAGCGAGGAGTAGAGCTGTTGGCGACGAGGGAAGTGTTGATAGAGCCAGGGTCAAGGGGTAGAATTTCGGCGCTGTACTAAAGGACTGCAGATGTATTACTTGCACCCCCTCTCCTGAGATAGAGATCGAGAAGACTGCAATAGTTCCCGAGGCGTCAGCAGAAGCAAATATGTTGGGGTTGGCGGCGCATGTCGCAATGGCGTTTATGGAGCCCTTGTGAACGTCGGTACTGGTCCATGCACACTTGAAACCGTCCGGGGTAGACGTCCACACACGGACAGACTTATCAACAGATCCCGTGAGGAGGATATCGGCATCTTGTGGCTGAGACGGGAGGAAACGGACGACGTTCACGCGGTCTGCATGGCCTTTGAGGGTTGCGTGGACACCACGGTGGGATAGGTCCTGCAGTTCGGTCTCTTGTTAGGGATTCAGGTACGCTGGCGTGTTTAGGGGGAGGGGGGTTGAATATGTGAGTGAGTGCATTGATCATCGAGCTTGTAATATATCAGGACAGGACGCGCGGTGCTTGCTTCGCTTACCAAAGGGTTCCAGAGCGCAATGCAACGTCCTGCACCGAATGCGAGCAGGCCAGACGGGGACCAGTCTGCGGCTGTGGGGTTTCGGTTGGCCCCGATTGCTATAAATTCCGTGTCGACGTGCGCCATGGTCTGTGTGTGGGGGAGAGATACTTCTTAGCAGGTGCTTGCTTGTTTCTCTGGTGGGAAATGATTACATTGGCGGGGTGAGGCTCTGTTGCAGCGTGGGGCACAACCATTCACAGCCACACCAGCTAGAGGAAGCAGCCACAGGCGGTTATCTGTAGGTGCCTGTCAAGCCACATGTATTCGTAGATTGTCGACCACAGCCCCCTGCCGATTGGATATGCACGCCACAGCGCCCCCCTTTATCTATCCCTTTCCGTTTTTCGGTCTCGGGTGGTGGGCTGCCAGCACGAAATTTCCCTTCCGCGTCAGCTTTCCCTCCTCCGAGTCGTATCCACCCCTCCCCTGTATGTTTGTAACAGTGTAACGGCAGTAACAAATCTCCGTCCCAGTTTGAGAGAGGGAATATTCTTTTTTCTCTTCTCCCTGATCTTCGTCTTTCTGCTATTTTCATCTGGCCCTTCTAGGTAAAGAGTAGAGTATCTACACACCTAGCGTAGATAAACCAGTAAATCTCCATACAACCAGTTGTTCTCTCCTATCTTGGTTGGCTTATTCTGACCTCCTATTCCAACCTACCACCGCTCCCCCCCAGCAACTTGAGCCCTACCCTAAAAACTGCCAACACCCCCCTACATACATATCTAGCTATCCTATCGCCCTATCCTACTACAACCTTTCTCACCAACAACCAAAAGGCATTCATTCCTTCCTTCCCCTCTGAACACAGTCCTTCGTTCACCTGTGCTCTAACACTCTCCTCGACCCATCAGCTTAACGATACACCAGCACTACCGCAACAATGGCTGAAAAGGAGAAACAAGATTCCTTCCGCGTCGATATGGGGGATGATTCCGATAAACCCTTTATCCCAACACGACCAAACGCGGCCAACCACGCGGCCCCAGCGGCTCCCTCGAACCCTCTGATCCCCATCTTGGCCTATTGCGCGGCGAGTATTCTCATGACCGTGACGAACAAGTATGTCCTTGGAGGAGTCGATTTTAATCTGAACTTCTTCCTGCTATGTATCCAGGTTAGTAGTTATACCCCCTTCCCCGTATCTGCGTACAATATCAAAATATCAGGATGTTAACAAGTATCCTCATTACAGAACGTAGTATGCGTAGTCGCGATCCAATTCTGTAAATCCGCAAAGATAATCACATACCGCGACTTCAATGCCGACGAGGCCCGCAAATGGTTCCCTATCTCTCTTCTCCTTATCACTATGATCTACACCTCCTCGAAGGCTCTTCAGTTCCTCAGCATTCCCGTGTACACCATCTTCAAGAACCTTACCATCATCTTGATCGCCTATGGTGAGGTCTTGTGGTTCGGCGGTTCCGTCAGCGGAATGGCTCTGTTCTCCTTCGGACTCATGGTTGTGTCCAGTATCGTCGCTGCGTGGGCCGATATCAGCGCTGCGTTGGGCTCATACGGTGGCAGTGCCCAGGCCGCGGAGCAGTTGAGCACTTTGAACGCTGGATACATCTGGGTTCTCGTCAACTGCCTGTCCTCTGCCAGTTACGTGCTCGGAATGCGCAAGAGGATCAAGCTCACCAACTTCAAGGATTTCGATAGTATGTCATCTCCCACATTGCAAATGCAGGAATCCGTAACCAAACTAACCTCCCATAGCTATGTTCTACAACAACCTCCTCTCCATCCCTGTCCTTCTTGTCTGCTCCCTCTTCCTTGAGGACTGGTCATACACAAACATCAACGCAAACTTCCCCGAGGACCGCCGCAACAGCCTCATCCTCGCCATGATCTTCTCTGGTCTCTCGTCGGTATTCATCTCGTACACCTCTGCGTGGTGTGTCCGTGTTACTTCGTCGACCACTTACTCCATGGTTGGAGCGCTCAACAAGCTCCCCATTGCTTTGTCTGGGCTGGTGTTCTTTGACGCTCCAGTTACTTTCGCCGGTGTTACTGTATGTTCTTTCTTCCCCTTCATATGGCTTTAATTGAGCTGGGCTAATAAGATCCTTATAGGCTATCGGTATCGGTTTCTTGAGTGGAATTGTCTATGCGCTCGCAAAGGTCAAGCAGACCCAGGCTAAGGCCGGCGTCTTGCCAGTCAGCAACCCAATCACGAGCGCAAGTTCGCAGAGCATGAGGGATGCCTCCAGATCATAAATCTGACAAAAGAATAAACATACATACAATAGAAGGTATTGTGCGTTGTGGGTTTCGGGTGAAACTGGGATAGAGTAGAAGAGGCAAAGATGGGAAGGGGGAGGGGAAGGGGCACAAAAAAAAAAGATGGTTGTCGGTGTTTTTTGTTTCTGTTCGGGCGTCATCATAAACAATTATAACTTTTTGTATCATTTTTTTTTTATATTCTTATTTTTGTTTTTTATAGTAGCTGTGGGGTGAAAGGTGGTTTGGTCTTTTTCATGTGCATGGGTGATAAGAAGTAAATGGAATAATATATGCTATGCCTTTTTGTTTTTGTTTTTGCGCGGGATACCCAGGGTGGGCGGTGAACATGTGGGGATGAGGCTGATTGGGGGGCTGGGCATTGGACTGGGGGGTTGGAGGTGAGGTTAAGCTTTTGGGTTCTTGGCGGCGGGGATGCTGGCTGGCGAGTGATTGGCGGTGAATGGTGTTGAATGGTGGTGCTTTATGGTGCTTGGAAGAGGCGTGTTTGTTGAGATCCAGACATGTGTATCTATCAGCATGAGGGAGGTAATGGTAATGGTAATGGTAATGGCCGTGGCTTCGTCTTGACACCGAGGCTCATCGTGGAAGAACTTATGCGTTGTAGTGCTTGGATTGAGTGTAGCTAGTGACGTTACCGGTCATCTCTTTGCCAGCTCGCGCTATATATAGCTCCGTTATTGTCATTGTCATGAATCTCAATAATATCTTCCAGTGCCTAGTTTGCCCACGGAGTTAATAACAGCAATATACATGTAGGCAGTCGTTGGAGAATGAAGCAGCTTGTTCCTATTGTGGTTCCTAGCATTGGCGGTATTATAATGTTCGGGTGGGAATGGGTGCTCGAGACTTTCAAGGCGCATGTAGGAACGATTGGGAAATGATGCATTCGTGATAGAAGCTATGGGATTCAGCGTCCCAATATGCCAAGAGAAGCCATACAGAAGCCCCCCCCCACCCCTCAACGAGCCATACCTGCCGCCGAAAACAGTCCAGGCGCTGTGATTTCCCATCATCTGCTACAGTCTTATTTTCCTTGAAGACTACCAGGACGGTTGCTTACTCGCTCGTCTGGTTTAAAGGTGAGTGTTGGCCTAACCCAAAGTTCAAACTACGACCTGTTCAAAAGCGGATGAAATCCGAGTGATAATTTGTGATTCACAAAACACAACAACAATACAACACACTGGTGACTAAATCCAGTTTAGAACAAGTTGTAATATTCTGGAAAAAAGAATACCAAAAATGTGATTGAAATATCAACGCGAGTTTGGGTGCGTATGGTTTTGCTCTTTCTGTCCTGGGGCGTGGATATGACCTTCTTACCCTGGGTTACTTGTCTTATCTCATCAACTTCCAAGTAAAGACATTGTCGCTCATTTTTGTTGTGGAACCAGAGTTACACGGGGAGTATCGGGAGCGGGGTTGTGGAGATAAAAGGAGTGGCTTTTTCATGGATTATCACTCGACTTTCTACGCTACAGGTGAATAGTTTGTATTTTGACATAAGCCTCATAACAGGTTCGCCGTTTTAATTATCGTCCGTAAGAAAGCTATTCTCGTCGAAAAATTAAGTTTTTAACTATCTTAGCTACATAAAGGTCTGCCGGAGCTAGTATTGGTAAAAGAGAGCACAACTCTCAAACCACCCACATCACCCACCCCACAACCACAACAACACCAACCCACCCGCTCACCACCCCCCTCCCAACCGCCGAATTCGACGATCCCGACCCCGACCCTGTAGCCGCCGCCACTGTCCCCGTACTCACGACAGTTTCTCCCTTGCTATTCGTAGTCGTAACCACCGTCGTCTGCGCCGCTGCCGTGTTACTCCCCGCCACAGCGCTCGCGGCCGTGACTGTCCACTCTACACCGAGGATTGACCACGTAATTGTGGGCCCGCCCGGCGGCGCCGTTAATGTCCCGCTCACGGTCGACAATGCGTCGTTGCCGAATGACTTTGATAGTGAGTCGGGGTCTAGGAACTTCCCGCCCGCAGGAGGGTCGATGCCCCATTTTGAGACGCAGTTGTTGCCGGCGATGGCTTCGGTGCAGGTGCCGAGGTTGAGCTGGCTCTCGTAGTCCTTCAGTGCCTTGTAGTAGTCTGCGTAGCCTAGGAAGTCGGGGTTATTGTTGGGGCAGATTGCGTATAGGCTTTTCGTCTGTTAGTTAAGTAGGTAGGACTAGGGAGAATAAAGGGGGGTAAAAATGCATACGCTGAAAGAGCACCGTCGAAGGAGCAGCAGGTGCAGCCAAAGAGGTCGGGGACGTTCAAGTAGGTTGACATACAGCCGATGCTTTCTAGGTAGACCTGGGTGGAGTTGACTACGGCCTCCCCGATGTTGCAGGAGCAGGCGCCGGGGGCATTTGCGGGGGCGGGCCAGAAGGGGATTGGTTCTGGAGTCACGAGGCCGCGATCAGCAGTATATTGGGCTGCTAAGGCGGAGTATTCGCAGGAGTAAATCTGCGGAGAGTTGCGTTAATTATGCTACTAGGTAACTAGTTATTATGGGGATGGAAGGTATACCTTGTTCCAGCAACTCGACATGTAGCAGTTCATCTGGTTGATTTGGTTCCCATATCCACAGCTCACGATGAGACTAGGATCGCTGGAGGTGGTCTTGATGCAAGCTGCCTCTGCATCAACGGCGTCTGAGAGACATTTCTCGAATCCGGCTTTGTCGACGCAGCCAGTTGAGGAGATTTCTGTTGCATTTGCGGCATGACAGACATCAATGATTCCCAGTACAACAACGCCACTGAGTACAAGCAGTGACTTTCTAGAGACGGCGAGAAGATGCATCCTGAAACTGAGTAGTGTCGTACAGAGATATAGGACAAAGGTTTACCAAGATTGATGGTCGAAAATAATTTCCAACGGCCGGCAAGAGCAGCAGCAGAGGCGCCTCTTAAAGCTGTGGGACACTATGGAACGGTGTAACAACTACTAATAACCGTCTCTGGCATGGCCCTCGGGACCGACGTCTCATGTGTGTACAACAACAATCACAGAGGTAGGAGCAGCACAGCAGCACAGCAGCATACCAGCAGCAGAAGCGTGGGGAGGAAATGACTTGGTTACACTAAAGCACTATCAGTGGATAAAGTCTAAGCGAGAATAGGAATGGTGGTGGTACCGGATGTCCTTTTGCGACCATCGTCTCTCTGGAGCTCTGTCTCAGTGGTTGCTCAAGATGCTGAGCGATTATATTCCCACATTTCATGCCCGTTGCAGGATCAAGGGCCATGCATGGAGGGAACGCCAAACATGAGTGACCAAGGTATCTAGAGACGCAGACAAGTGCCAAGAAAAAGCTTGTTTGAACAGCATTCTGAAGCTCTGTATATGTATATAATGTATTCCTAATTCCCAGGATAGATTAAGCATATCGGGGAAAAGTCTGGCCATGAGAGATCTTGGGATTACCGAGGACGAACACAGTAATCCTCCAGAGTAGTATATCCAAACTTCAATCTCTCGCCCGTATGCTCCTGCCGCAATAGACCTCAAAGCTTTATCCATCATCCATGCTTGCGACGTGGCTACGAATTTGCAAGGGTCATGGAAGGCTTTTGCCGCGAAACCATGTATTTATAGCGTCATTGAACCCAATGCCCAAAGTGGGCACACTTCGTTGGTAGATATGAGCTTTTCCCGATGCAAGTGAAACCGTTAGTTGTGGCGGTGTAAAATAGTCGAGTGACCAATCGTGAATAACGGTGGCTGCGGCCTCGGGATCTCCTCGAGCCGACCAACTCACTAGGCCCGGATTTTCACCCAATTAACCAAGTATTAGTAGATAGTGTCAAAGACACATCCTTTGTCAAGCGGACTCGACTGTGACGAGAACGGTCTGGCCTGTGATTTCTAGTCCGTCTTATCACTACGGTGGAAACATCGCCGATGCCCAGGTAACAATAGTCCCAACCCGTGATTGAATTACTAGTAGGATTCCGTAGGTATTTCTAAAGAGGTTTCAAGACGCGTTAAAGCCGTTGGTAACGTAGAAAATTCAAAGCCTAAAGAATCCATCTCCGTGGTGGGAAGTTCGGACGTTGAACGGACTCGGGGGGATGACGGTTTATTTAGGGCTGGCCAACATGTAGGTACAGTGACGTTTTAAACAACCAATAACACGTTGTTCTTTGCTCGCTAACCTTATTTCGACCACCCGTGTCCAAAATACTCGGACCCACGCCCGCCTCGGGACGATATTATGAACAGAAGTCCTTTGGTATTTTGAACGATACAAGCGTCACATTTACTACATGTGTTATGTAACATGCCAAACGGGTCTACAATGCTTATTCCTTCGCCAGGCTCTAATTATAAGCTGTGTAACAAATCAGGATCCAACCCGTGCCAACGAACCACTCCACCAACGAACCACCCAGACCCAAGCCCCGAGTGAGAGCCCATGAGCCAAGAAAAGTTAGGGCTCCCACAACAATACAATACCATTATGCACCCACCACAACGCGGCGCCCATCATCATCCAGCCTCAGCTCACGATTACGACCTCATACCAACCCGCCATCAACCCACCACCCACGACCACCACGACCACCACCACCACCACCACCACCACAACCACCACATCTACACCCACCACCGACCACACCAACAATGTCGCACCCCTTTCGCATCCCCTTCCCCAAGCTCCCCTCCTCTGCCACATGCCGCTCCGCCGGCATCTACACCTCCGGAGCTCTCGTCAGTCCCCTCACCCCTCCCCCTAGATGGGAGCTAGCTAACAGACGCAGTTCTCGCTCGGCTTCTGGTTCTTTGTGGACGCGGCCGTCTGTAGCAAGGTTCACAACCCTAGCGATGTACACATACACTTCCCGGAGTGGATCCCGCTGATTTGTAGCGTGCTGGGAATGCTTATGTATGTTGCTGCCCCCCCCCCCCCCCGGGGGCTCACTCGTGGTTGCTGGATGAGTTAGTTGGGGGAGAGAAAGGGGCTAATGAATGTGTGCGCGCAGAATCAACTCGATTGAGAAGTCGCGCCTCACGGGAGACAGATTCTCATACAGCGTCGGCGACGGCGACGTGGTGTGGAAAGCGAAGCTGGTGCTGTTCATGGGCCTTGCGCTGGTGTCTGGCGGGCTGGCGGGGTCGGTGGTATGTTTTGTGTTTCTTCTTCTTTCTGGATCCTGGGGGTGGTGTGGTGGATGGTTGGTCGCTTGGGTTGGGTGGTCGCTAATGGAATGGGGCTGTAGTGCTTCTTGATACTGGGCTATATCGTCCCTGATTACCCGTGGCCGACGCTGTACTTTGGCGTCGCGAATGTGCTCGCGAACTCGCTCATTGCGCTGAGGTATGAGCTCTTGCCCTGCTCTGTGCTGTTGGTTTGGTTTGGTTGCTGACTGGTGATGTGTATAGTTGCGTCTCGCTGTGGCTGTCGCAGAATATCGAGGAGGAATACACCTATAGCTTGTCCTTGTAGGCAGAGGGCTGGTCAGATTAGGTTATGTCCGGGGGGGAAGGGTAATGAAGGGGGGAAGAGGGGAAGGGGGGGAAGGGTAATGACCAGAGCCAATTTTTTCGTCTAGGCCCGGCGTCGTCGTCGTTGTAACAACAGGCATTAGCATCCATGGACTTTTTTCTTTCTTTTTTTTTCGCTCGTGCTTTTTTTGTTCGGTGTGTTTTGTATTTGGGTTCGTTGGCTTTCGGTTTGTGAGGATGTGCGTGTATGGAAAATGGAATGGAATGAATGGGTTTACATGTGGGTTTTTTTTTCTTGGCTTTTCGTTTCGCTTGCTTTGGTTTGCTTTGGTGTATTTGGGGGGTGGGGGGAAGTGGTGGGGCTGTGGCAAGAGTTGAAAAATCGAGTTGTTGTCGCCATGAATGTGTAGGTGCTGTCCTCTAACGTGAGTATCGAGGTAGTTGGGTGTCAATGACCAGCTAGCATGGATCTGTGAGCCGACTTGGAAATAGGGCATCCTGATCATTACCCTCTCAGCTATCGTAATTAGTAGCGCTCATATTAAACAGTACCTGAAGGCCATTGCATCTACTTTATGTTTAGGGTAGAATGGGCTTTTGTACTAGATTGGCCTTGGTAAGGACCAGTGAGAGGAGTGTCTATATAGCTACAGTTAATTGCCAATGCTGAAGTGGAAGTAGACATTTGAGCTCACGGCAAGATTAAGAGTCAAGCTTCCCACTCAAATCTTTACTTATCTACAACTACATATAAAGCACATATCCCTCTCTACAAACTGTTTGTTCTCCAGACACCCCCAACACCTCCCCCAAAGCTTGTTCCCCATGCACGCCAACCCACCAATCCTTGGCGCCCCATCCCCGCCGACGTCATCCTCCAACCCAACCCAACCCAACCCAACCCAACCCAACCCAACCCACACCACAAGCCAGCACTCGTCCCCGGCGTCCGTCCCTGAAGGGCAACAACAACCATCATTGACCTCGCCCGACTCCATCACCAACAATGTACCGGCGACTCACGCCACACCTGCGCCAGCAGTACCTGCGGCAGTCCGTCACTGCCAGTACAAAATGCAGCCCGATCCTCTCGCGGGCAATCCACATCGAGAGGCCTCGTGGAACTGGGAAGCAATGTGATATTCTAAAGGGAGTGGGTACTGGGGCCGCGAGGGCGCAGTTTAACAAGTGTTCGGCGACAAAGACGTGGGTGAGGGAGACGAGTACGGTGGGGTATAATAAGACGGGGTATATTGACCTGGAGCCGGGTGAAGGGCTGTTGTTTTTCGATAGTTAGTTGATTAATTATTACCTGCTATACTCTACACCCTCAATGGCTATATTGTATTAACTAGCAGCGCACAGACATCTTCCCGCTCAAGACCGCCGTATTCGACATCCGCTACCTCATCACCCGCCTCGACAAAGTCTCCTTCGAGTCCCGCATCCGCAACCACTACATCCCCCCATCCCTCACCTCCCCCGACTCGCCCCACAACTTCAAGATCACCGCCATCATCCCGCGCATCAAGGACGGCGGCGCCTTCGTCAAATACACCTCTACATCCCCCATCGCCGTCGAAGCCGCCATCTCCCAGCACCTCAAGGACCAGGCCATCAAGCCCTGGTACTCCCCGTTCGCGCGCATCAAGGCCTACGCCGTGCAGGGCAAGCCCTGGCTCGAAGACCTCCGCATCTTCCCCACCACAAAGATCAAGGTCGAGTTCACGGGCGGCGACGGCACCCTCTCGCAGGAGCAGCTCTATGCGCTGTTCCGCCGCTATGGCAAGATCGTGGATATCCACCCGCAGCCGCCGGTATCGAAGGACCTGCCGCACTACGCCACGATACAGTACTCGATGATCCGCTCGGCCACGGCGGCGAGGAATTGCTTGCATGGGTTTGTGGCGAAGGGGACGCAGACGGCCACGGGGAAGGAGTTGGATGTCACGTTGCGCATACTGTATGAGCGCACGATGAAGGCGCACTGGATCCGCGACTGGCTGTTCTCGCATCCAAGGATTGTGATACCGATTGTGGCGGCGATATTGGCGGCGGTGACGGTCGCGATCTTTGACCCGGTGAGGACGTGGTTTATTGAGGCCAAGATCACACGGGCATTGAACTTTACGGAGTCGTCGTATTGGGTGGCGATGAAGAAGTATACGGTTGGGCAGCTACCGATCGGGCGGAAGCATGAGACGATGAACGACCTGTGGGCGGTCTGGGATGAGCGGATAGAGTCTGTTAACCAGCTGCAAGCCTGGCTGCGCGAGACTGTTGAAACCTTCATCGTAGTCCAAGGCCCCCGCGGATCAGGAAAGAAAGACCTAGTCGTCGACACAGTCCTCAAAGGTCGTAAAAACGTACTTGTAATTGACTGTGAGCCCATTGACGAGGCACATGGCGACAGTGCAACTATCGCTGCTGCCGCAGCACAGGTGGGATATTGGCCGGTGTTCTCATGGCTGAACACGATCAGTAGTCTCCTTGATCTTGCGGCACAGGGAACGCTGGGGGGCTCCGCGGGTTTCAGCCAGACGCTGGAAACGCAGTTTAACAAGATCCTGCAGAACACGGGGACGGCGCTGAAGAGGATTGCGCTGAAGGATAAGGGCGACTCGGAGAAGGATATGGGGTTGAGCGATGATGAGTATCTCAGCACTCACCCCGAGAAGCGGCCTGTAGTTGTCATTGACAACTTCCTGCACATGGAGGGGAACAGTATCATCTATGAGAAACTAGCTGACTGGTAAAATACTCACACTTCCTACTCTACTCATACTAAATCAGTGATGAATATAAGCTAAAGACATACCAATACTTGCAGGGCCGCCCTCCTCGTCTCCGCAAACGTAGCCCACGTAATCTTCCTCACCAACGACACCACCTTCTCCAAATCGCTCTCCAAGTCCCTCCCCGACCGCGTCTTCCGCTCTATCCTCCTCGGAGACGCCGCCCCCGAATCCGCAAAACGCTTCGTCCTAAAACACATCAACGACGAGCTCTCAGGCGACGGCAACGAGAAGGCCCTCTCCGAGCTCGAGAGCTCTATCCAAGCCCTCGGCGGCCGCCTAACAGACCTCGAGTCCCTCGCCCGCCGCATCAAGACCGGCGAGTCCCCCAAGAAGGCCGTACAGGAGATCATCGAAACCTCGGCCGCAGAGATCCTGAAGCTCTACTTCCTCGAGGAGGCGGGATACCGCAAGAAGCGCACGTGGGCACCAGAGCAGGCGTGGTTCTTGGTGAAGGCGCTTGCGCAGGAGGGGGAGATCCCGTTTAATCAGGTTGTGATCCACGACCTGTTCCGTTTGGATGAGGAGCCGATCCAGAACTTGGAGCAGGCGGAGATGATACAGATTGTGATCAACAATGGCAGACCGTACTCGATCAAGCCGGGGAGACCAGTATATCAGGCGGCGTTCCAGCGACTGCTGGAGGATAAAGTGCTGACGGCGAAGATGGACCTGGTGAGCTTGAAGGCGATCGTGAAGGGGGAAGAGGTGGTCATTGAGAAGGCCGAGAAGGAGATGGAGGCGTTAGGGCCGTTACCAAAGCAGCCGAAGGGGAGGATGGAGTACTTGTTGGAGAAGGTGGCGGTTGCGCAGGCGAAGGTGGCGGAAGCGGAGAAGAAGATGGCGGGGTTGAAGAAGATGCTGAAGACGGATTATTAGCGGGGAGCGTGGGGGCTTTGTTGTTGCGCGGATATCCAGGCGTGTTGTTTTTTAAATGTGTAAAATAATATATACATGTTCTGCTATTTACTTGAGTTCTTTGTCTGTGCTTCTCCTCTCATCTCATTCCTCGGGGAACTTCCCGATCAATACCAAACACGGCTTGTGATATCTGTAGCTCCATGAATATCAGTGATATAGGCACAGAGGATAGTATCATGGAAGAAGAAGTGGGGTGAGTGGGTAGCGGACTGTTATTCGGAATGATCAGCATCATGAAGTATCACTCGACGAAATCTTAGGAATAACTGTTGAGAAAGCAGGACCGATTGAGTGGAAGAGAGTATGACGGGATGGTTAAGCAACTTGATTATTATCTCGGTAAATAGTTCAACTAGCTATATAGTCATGGATCGGACAAGTGCCGACATAGCGGTGACATTAGTACAACCCTTCAGACAGAACCCAAGGATCTAGCTGCTTAGCCATACATAGGAGGATAACTGTACTCCCTCCGTAATGAAAACAAAAGGAGCTAGAGGGGAGTTATATTAGGGATAAACTAGCACGTACAGCCGTACATGGCTACATAGCTACATGTACATATACGTTATGTCATTAACCCACAATAACCCCTTCGCACAACTACTTCCAGATCCTATGGCTGAGTATACACCAGGGTGCCCGTGAACCACCGAGTAACAACCCTACTGTCGGCCAAATCTCGTCGGTCAAGATTACTCTTAGCCAGAATAAGTCGGCCAAAATCCAGGCTTGCCACCATCACGCAGTGGTATATAACGCTGCTCTTCCCCCCACCAAACATCTTTCCTCAGGGAGCAAGCAGCTCTTCAGTGGTCCTGTGCTGGCCACTAAGAGTCAAGCAGCATGGCTGTGTGCTCTGGCTCCCTCCCCCCCTCCAATGCCACTGGCATTCTGCCCTGGCCCTCCGTCGCGAGGGGGCCAGAAGCAGTGGTAGGAGGGGGGGCTCCTGCCCCTGCGGCTCCTGCCCCGCCTGCTCCTGCCCCGCCTGCTCCTGCCCCTGCGGCTCCTGCCCCGCCTGCTCCTGCCCCGGCGGCTCCTGCCCCGGCGGCTCCTGCTCCTGCTCCTGCGGCTCCTGCTCCTGCTCCTGCGGCTCCTGCTCCTGCTCCTGCTCCTGCTCCTGCCCCTGCGGCTCCTGCCCCGGCGTCTGGCTCCCCTTGTGGGCCGGCGTAAGTCCCCCCTCCCTTGGCACCCACCCCGCACTGTTGCTTAGGGGTTGGGGGGAGCTTGACTTGCGCTGGCCCCCGAGTGGGGGAGCGTTTCTTTTGGCCTCTTCTGGTCCTTGGGTTTATCCCAGGGATCGGAAGGGGCCTAAGTTACGTTAGGACCGTGCTTCGGCCTCTCCTAGTTCCTGGGCTCTCTGCCCGGGAGCTAGGAGGGGCCTGAGTTACGTTGGGATCCTTCTTTGGCCTCTCCTGGTTCTTGGGCTCTGTCCTAGGAGCTAGGAGGGGCCTGAGTTGCGTTAGGTCTGTTGGCTGTTCCTCCCCGTCCCCGCTTCTGCACTCTCACGGAGGGGGTAGGGATCACTATCAGTCTCTGGGCGCAGTCCGAGGGATTGAGAGTGATCTCCTCCTCATCCTTTGGCTCTCCCTTTCGGGGAGAATAAATAGAAGCCCATTGCAGTCTTTAGGCTCTGTTCCTCTGTCCCTGATTTTGCTCTGTGAGCAAAGGTCACTATTGATCCCTGGGCGCAGTCCGAGGGATTGAAAGTGATCTAAGCTTATTGCACGTTGTAACAACGAGCAGCAATGAACACCCGTCGATCTTTGAGCCTTCTGTAGCGTGCTTCCGTGCTCGATTACGACGCAGCGCCGCTCTGAAATCAACCCTTCGATCCATCGAGTGATATATCATGATTCAAAGCGTAATGCTCCCATACGTGTCAAGCTGAGTTGCAAAGGACAGGTAAATGTCACGTATATCATCCAAAGTAACAGATAAATAAGATAGTTTTAGAGCCACCTAATGGAAGATTAGTAGTGAGGTGTGATCTCCCAAACTATATATATACCTTCTCGAGGCTCTCTCTCTCTTCTCAAACCCCGACCAAACACCCTTTACCCCATCTTATTGTAATATCGTCAATTATCCTTTCGGGTGCCGGTTTTGGTTGTTCTGTTGGCCTTCATACAGATTATCCAGTTGTACTTCGATCGAGTACCAAATAGCCACAGTATCATCATCATCCTACTACGTCTATCTCTTAAGTAAGAGCGTGTCGATTATGTCGTCTGTACCCTACCACTCATCCTACAAAACCCATAACCATGGAATTAGCATGGCTATCACAGTTGGCCTTACAGAGAGTGATCTACAGGATAAAAAATTGCAACAATTTACGTTAGTTTACCTCTCTAATTGGAGGCTAAATTGCTAATGGTGTCCTTTAGAAGTGGATTTCAGGGACTTGTGAGGGAATATAAAAATCTTCCGACTCCCTCAACAATCACTGTCGAGCTGGAGTCTTCTGTGGTAATTGAAGTCCAGGATGCTCCAGTTTCAGAGCTCGACCCTACTTCTATTAGACAGTATCTAAGGCGCCCCACTCGACTACGAGGAAAAGGGAAGAAGATTGACCACAAGAAGGAGGATTCTTTTTTGGTTCTGGACTTTCGTTACGCGACGGAAACGACTTTTCCAGCCCCGCCCCGGGTTTCTACTACCTACAGTGTCCGCAATATGACTGCAGTTTCAAACGAATGGCACTTTATGCTTACAAAGTGCCCAGCCTACGGCTTGGGCATTTTCATATATCTACCAGGAACTAGCCTCAGGTACTTTATCGACATGGTCATCGCCGAAGATTCCAGGCCGATATCTTTTCCAGAAGGCGCTCCCTTTCAATTTCCGCTGGACTTGATAGCATGGCAACTTTTTGATTTCTTCGCCCATAGGATAGTAGGTGAAAAGTTTAATACCGAGAGAGGATTTGCGCCTTTATCACTTTATTGTCCCGATGAGAAATTGGGGAAATTGCTTTCAGGGCTCTTCTCCAATTTAGGCCTATCCAAGGAAAGAAAAATCAAGATATCCAGTTGCATGGGGATTCCTGAGGAGTATGAGGAACAACACATATTTTTACCTAATAGACACCCTGAATGGGTACGACTTCGCGATTTAAGTACAGTATTGATTTGTCTGGAGTGTAACCAGTTCTTTATCAGTCTTAGACAGCCCACATGCGGATTCTGTAGAGACGAATCGCCTGTCAGTATCGATTGGGATCAGACTGGTTTATTCAAATGTAGGATGGCTTTACAGTTGCCCCCCCTATACTTTGCTAAGGAAACGACTTACCAGGTTGATAAACGCAAGAAAGTTTCCGAGGGATTCGAGGAGCGGTTTAACGGAAAGAGATTACGGAAGACAACGACATCTTTATTGCCAGTATCTCGTGCTGAAGGGACACAATTCTTTTAAAAAGATTTCCAAGGTTTACGGTTGATGCGCGAAGTGGGACAATCCAATATCATTGGAGGATTCTTGCATTTTTAATGGCTTTACTCAATTCATGTAAAAGTTGGTTCATGTATCAAGGGTTTCAAGTCATGGGATTGTGGGTGAAGGGACGTTGTCTGCCTGTTATGTTAACCGGCGTGTTGTATTTTTTAGGTATTGATATTGAATGGGGGGCTGCTCTATGCGAATAACATGATTATCGGGTTAAATATATTATTATTCCAGCTATGAATTATTATCCCATCTAGCGTGAAGTCGAGTGCGCAGACTTGGATGCCTTGAGAGCTTTGGTATAACTAAGCTGGATGGAACCCATCAATAATTGCTCGACACTGTTGCTCGGTATCTAGTACTTCGTCGATGTTTATAAACCTGGGTCCTCTAAAAATTACAGATGCAAGGCTCTGTTGTTTGATGCTCCTCTCGGTAAATCGCTTCCTGAACGATGGTATTATCTCCGGATGAATGCTTTCTCCCCCGGGCTTATGCATTATGCCCCAGGCCAAGTATAATTACAGCCCTACCCTTTCTAAAATATCAGCAATCCCAAAACCGAAAACCCCAAACTCCAAAGTCCATATCAAACATTACTATCCCCCCAATCTAAACCCACCTACTTCCTCCCCCCCACCCCCGCCCCCGCCCCCAACCGCCTCTTCACCCTCCTCTGATTCCTCCTCAAAAACACCAACGCCCCCCCACCACCCACAACACCATTCTCCACCCCCGCCCTCACGCCACACTTCTTCCCCGCAGCCGCAGCCTTCATACACATCATCCCCAGCCTCGCGACATCCAGTCTTGCCCCCGCGCCGCCGTCGCCCCCGCGCCGCCGTCGCGGCAGCGGATACCGGTTCACGATAACCTCCGTCATGCCCGCCACATACGGGAGGATCTCGTAGTCCTCCTGCTTCGCTGCGGCCTCCTTGGCCGTCGCTGCGGTGGTGATGGTGGTGGTGGTGGTGGAGGGTGTCTTGGGCGCGCGCTTGCTCTTGGTGTTTGCCGGGGGGTGGCGCGGCTTCTTTGGTTCTCGGGGGGTGGTGGCGGCGGTGGTTGTGCGCGGGGGAGGAGGAGGAGGTGGTGGTGGTGGTGGTGGGGGAGGGGGCGGGGGGGAGGAGGAGATTGTGATTGCGCGCAGGGGCGCGGGCGCCGGGGCGGCGGTGGTGGAGGTGGAGGTGGAGGAAGGGAGGGTGGGTTTGCCGCTGCTGATGAGGAGGCGCTCGACTTCGGTGCGGCGCTGCTTGGAGCGCGTTGTGCGCGCGGCGGTGGGGATTGTCGTTGTGGTGGGTGCGGTGGAGGTGGGCGCGGTGGTGGTGGTTGTAGTTGTAGTTGTAGCGGTGGCGGTCCTTAGGGCGGCGGTCTTGGTTGATGCGGCTTTGCGCTTCCCGAGGACGGGCTTCGCTTTCTCCTTCGAACCCCCCTTTGTCTTCTCCTTCTCCTTCTCTTTTACTTTCCCCTGCACCTGTGGCTCCTCCTGCTCCCCTCCACCGCCATCCTCCCCTCCACCGCCATCACCATACCCCTCCCCCTGCACCTCGTCCTGCTGCCTATATCCCTCGTTCTCCCTCGCAATCCTGCCCGCAGCCCACGCCTGCACGGCCGGCAGGCGGGCGTCGTAGTAGGCCGCGACGCGCGCGTTGGGTACGGCGCGCTGGTAGAGGCGGGCGAAGGCGACGTGGATCGCGTTGTTGTGGGAGTGGTGGTCGTGTTGTGCTTGGAGTGCGATTTCTGTGTGGGTTAGTGTGAGTATGAGGGGGTGCAATTGGGGTTTGGGGGGGAGGGGGGTGTACCGCGGGGGTCTTGCATTGTGGTTGAGATGGGATGGGATGGGATGGGATGGGATGGGATGGGATGAGGTTGGTTGCGGTGTGGTTGTGGTGAGGTTGGGCGTGGCGGTCATGGCGTGTCACTCTGGTTGCTTGCTGGGTTTGTGTCATGGTCTCTCACCCGGGTACTTTACTCTGTCATTACTTTCACAACATATCACTCCATCGATCCCATACAGCTACAAGTGCACTGATAGTACCAGAACTGAAAATTTCATCTCATTCTCAAACTAACTACGTGGGGAAATATGGGAAAGGTGCTGTTGAATCACCGTTGCGCCTGTCTGCCTGCCTGTCTGCCTGCTGCTGCTGAACCTATCTAATAGTAGTACCGCTATCTAGTGAGGATAGGAGTGGTGGTTGTGGTAGTGGTAGTGGTATTATAGTAGCAATACGTACCTCTGTCCATCAAGAGTTTCCGGGAGTCCAAACCCCCCCCCCCTTAGCTGTACCATGCACGCACTCCAAGAAACAAAAAAACAAAAAGCCCTCCAAGAAAACACAGAAAAGACGCACTCTTACCTCGACCCTGGGTTAAGCCAGGCGCACAAAAGCATTCACACACACACACGCACACACACACTTACCTCCCTCCCTCCCCCCAGGCCCCGACTACCACGACCCCATCTCCTGCACCCCCTCATACGACCTCAACTCCGACTTCCTCCCCCTGGGGCCCCTCTCCTCCAGATCCTCCCTCAACCACCCCAACACCAACTCCAGCAGCGCCGAATTCCTCAACAGCCCCCCGGTCTCCCTGCCTGTCGGCAGCGGCGGCAGCTCAAACGCCCCGACCGGCCCATACTTGCGGATCGTCCCCAGCGTCATGCGCACCAGGTGTGTGGGCCACCCGGCGAGCCCGTCCATGATGTGCGTGGCGTACACGATCGTGCACGCGCGCGTCATGGTCTCCTGCGCGAGGAAGGAGAGGAAGCGGCTGCGTGCTAGCACGTCCAGGTCGACGGTCACCTCGTCGAGGAGGAGGATTGACCACGGGCGGAGGAGCCCCATGGTTAGTTGGACGCGGCGGCGCTCGCCTAGGGGGGTGTTAGTGGATGAGGGGGAGGGGGAAGGGGAGGAGGGAGAGGTACCGTCGGAGACTTGGTGCATGCGCCAGTCGACGTCAATGTCGAGGATGCGGATCAGCTCGTCGCGGCGCGTGGGGTAGGCGTTTCCGCCGACGCTGGCGAGGAGCTCGTGCACGTAGATGTCGTTTCGGACGATGGGGTTGAGGACCCATTCTGCGGGTGGTTTCCGCGGAGTGAGCCGGTTATGTAATTTCACATTGATAGATAGAGTATATATATATGGAACAAGATCATGGAGGATAGGGGATGCGGGAGAGGGAGAGAAGGGAGAGGAGGGGTAATGATACCAAGCCCAAGATAAGTCACGCCCTCAAGACCCATTTTGAACGGGTCCACACCGCCGATCAGGAGCGTTCCATTTGTGGTGAGCTTCTTGCCTGCACTCCATCAGTACATATTTTAAACACAGCACGCATCATACCGATACCAAAACTCACCAGAAGCAAGTCGCAGCAGCGTCGTTTTTCCAGCCCCGTTCGCTAGGCGATAATGTCAGTATATCTCTCTCTATCGCGCATATCCATATTTCTTTATCCCCCCCCACTCCCCCCGCTAAAATACCAAAAAGAAGGAAACCCCATACCGCCAATCAACAGCGTCCGCGATCCCGGCGGGAGGTCGACATTGATATCCTTCAGCCCCGCACTGCCGTCGGGGAAGTTGTAGGTCAGGTCCTTGACATGGATCGAGGGCGCTTCGGCGACCATTCTTTCTAATTTCTATATGGGGGTGATTTGAAGAGGGGGGGTTATGTGTCTAAAAAAATTTATATGCGTGTGTGGAACTTTTCAAAATAGATGGTGGTGGGACGTGAGGGACGGATGGTGGTGGTGGGACCCAGGGAATTGGTATGACGAGGGGTTGTGTTGCGCTGCGACGATTCGCGAGATCGTGTGGGCGGAGGATGCCGCAGAGCCGCATGCAGGCGGTTGTGCTGGTGAGTTTGGCTTGGGGGGGGGGGGGGGGTGCTTGGGGTGTTTACTTGGTGCTTGGGGTGTTTACTTGGTGTTGATGGATCGATAATAGAGAGGTACATACTTGTTTTCAGAGAGGATCTTTGTGAAGCAAAGTGAAGAACCGAGAACGTAGAGAATGTATTGTATAAACTGATGAGAAGAAACAAAAGAGAGAGAGAAAGACTTTATAGTTACAATTTAGAGGCCAAACTACCTCTAATACAAAAGTACAGATAGTTTGGGACAACATAAGGAAACGTTTAACAGTGCAATCGTTAACAACATCCACCGCCGCAATGACTGACCACAATCAACAGTACTTAGATTAGGGTTTATGGGAATGAAGGGCGGTGGCGAGAGGTTCTTGTGATAGAGATTTCTTTGGCTTTGTGTTAAGATAAGGCAGAAAGGAAAGAGGAATTGATATTGCTTGAAATCTACATGTTGTCTACTAGAGGTACCTCTAGTATGCAACATATCTAGTTTGCTACTATCTTTATTGTCGTAGTGAAGGCCTCAAAATACTCAAATATCCCATTCACACAAACAAAGCACCAGTCTTCGAATTATCCACGTTTTTTTGGTTCGCTCAGTCCGATTCCCACAAACCTCAACTCATGGCCATAGGTACCAAATTTTATTACCGAAATCCTGCCAATCCATAACAAGACCCAATCGCGAAATTCGAAGGAAAGAAAAAGCCTATCATTGAAATTGAAACTATCCAAACCACAACAATCAGCCGATCTCTCCCCACAACAACCAAAAAACAACAAAGAAAAGAGACCCTACATCCCCATGGCCAGTCCATCACTGCGTCTTCTTCCCCTGTCCCCCCTCGACGGGTAACCACTTAAGCCCATTACGATTGTACATTGGCCACGGCGGCACCACCGCCAGCGCCGTCAGCGCGGTCCCGCCCAGCCCGATCCACACCGTGTACTTGAGATCCTTCACGACGAAGCCTACTATGAACGCCACGATCTGTTCACACATCAACGATGTTAGCGACGCCCAACACCTAACCAGCCAAGGAAGAGGACCTACCCCGGAAAGGCCCAGTAGCACGGTAGTGAGCTGCTCAGCTAGTC